AAGCCCTAAACCCCTAACACCCTAAAGCCCTAAAGCCCAAAACCCTAAACCTTAAACCCTCAGAAACTCCTAAAATATTCCCGAAGCCCGAGCTGAAGCCAAGTGAGCACAATCGCATCCTTCGGGCTGGGAAGGTTTAGGGTTTCGGGTTGTAGGGTTTAGGGTTTTGGGGTCTAGGGTTTAGGGGCTTGGGGTTTAGGGTTTAGAGTTTTAGGGTTTTAGGGTTTAGGGTTTTGGGGTTTAGGTCTTAGGGTTTTAGGGTTTGGGGTTTAGGGTTCAGGGTTTAAGCTCTGAGCCTCCATCTTCTAGCCTAGAGAACACGGCAACGCTCAGCCACAAAGCACATCAAATCCCAGGTTCAAGGGGGGCCGACTACAGTACCCAAGGCCAAATATCGGGGCCCCAATAGCTCGAATAGTATCTTTATTGGGGAGGGTGTGTGTGTGTGTGTTGCTATCATGAGGAAGGACTCAATGACATAAGGTTGCTACTAGTACTTCTCACTCCATGCTGTCCTACACCCTGAAGCAAACAGCCCAAATCCCCGACCCTAAACCCTAACCCTAAACCCCTAAACCCTAAACCCCTAAACCCCTAAACCCTAAACCCCTAACCGGCCCTAACCCCCTAAACCCAAAACCCTCAACGCTCCAAAGGAGGAGGTGGAGGCCTTTCAGAGCTCCCTCCTGGAGATGCGAAGTTACATGGACTGCCAGAAGGCATCCGGTCGTCAGGGTAGCTTCGGGGTTTTGGGCTTTGGGTTTCGGGTTTTCGGCTTGTTAAGATCCGTAAGCCCTGAACTCTGAACCCTAAGCCCTAAACCCTAAACCCTAATACCTGAATGTCCTAAATCCCTCCACTCTCAGCTGAGAAGTCAGGAGGCTCTGGAGCACAGCCAAAGGAAGGTTTGGGTTACTATGGTACTAGAGGGTAAAGGAACCACAAGATTCCCCCTAAACCCTAAACTCTAAACCCTATAAGGGTACTATAAAGGGGTGCTTTAAGGGAGCACACCCTGGGTTTCAGGGCCAGGCTTTGGTGTTTTAGTGCGTGTTTTTAAAAGTGCTTTAAGGTTCAGGGTATGGGGTTTAAGGGTTAGGGTTTAGGGTTTAGGGTTTAGGGTTTAGGGTCGAAGGTCGGGGGTTTAGCCCCATCTACAGGACGCTACACCCTTCAACAGTGCAGCAATAGAAACCCGGAGCCCCGGACCTATTGAAAGCCCAGGCCGTGCACCTCAAAAGCCTGCAAACCTGAACCTGACCCCAAATCCCTAAACTACCAAACCTTAGACCCTAAACCCTACTTGGAGGATCATGGGACTTAGTAAGTAAGGTTATAAATCCCTTAACTGGGGTTATAAGTATAGGTACCCTAATTATAACCCTACTTACTAAGTCCCATGATCCTTTAAGTAAAGCCCTAAACCCCAAACCCTAAGACCCTAAACCCCAAACCCTAGGGCTTTACAGGTTTTTGGATCTAGTTTTCAGGCCCCCCGACCTGCCATCTTCCAGCAACCTGGGACCCCCTCCTTGCGTCCGTTTCTGTCACTCGGTCCTACTTAAAGGATCATGGGACTTAGTAAGTAAGGTTTAGGGTTTAGGGTTTAGGGTTTAGGGTTTAGGGTTTAGGGTTTAGGGTATTGAAAGGATCATGGGACTTAGTAAGTAGGGTTATAATTAGGGTAACCATACTTACAACCCCAATTAAGGGACTTATAACCTTACTTACTAAGTCCCGTGATCCTCCAAGTACCCACCCTAAACCCTAAACTATAGACCCCTAAACCCTAAACCAACCAAGGGTTTAGGGTTTAGGGTTTAGGGGTTTAGGGTTTAGGGTTGAGGGGTTTAGGGTTTAGGGTTTAGGGGTTTAGGGGTTTAGGGTTTAGGGTTGAGGGGTTTAGCGTTTAGGGTTTAGGGGTTTAGGGTTTAGGGTTTAGGGTTTCGGGGTTCAGGGGTTTAGGGTTTAGGGTCCCCCAACTGAACCCTACTGAAAGGATCATGGGACTTAGCAACTGGGGTCATAAGTAAGGTAGCTAGAGTTATACTTATTTATAATCCAATTAAGGTACTTATAACCTGCAAGACTGTGGCCAGGCAAAGGCAAAAGTTCGGCAGTTCATAGCTTGAAAACTGTCAAGCTGTTGAAACTAGCATGTGTCTAAAGCCATGCTACGGTTTAGGGTTTAGAGTTTAGGGTTTTTTTTAGAGTGTAGTGGCCGGGTTTAGGGTTTAGGGTCCAGGGTGCCTGCGAAGTCTTGAGAAGGAACGACTCACGCCAATTCAGATTGACTGGCTCACAGCTGCTCACCCGAACCGCTGAAGCCTTAATCACCCAGGTAACCTCAACCCAGCAGCAGGCCAAGTTAGACAATGCAGCTTTCTTTAGGCTTCAGTCTAGGACATTTTCAGGTGGGTAGTTACCGTGAAAGCAGCCCTGTATACCCTAAACTCCCCCTAAACCCTAAACCCTGAACCCGAAAAAAACCCTAAACCCTATATACCCTAAACTCCCCACCTGTAGTTTCCCTTGATTCAGGGTGGAGGGAGTCTGGGGCTTGGGGTTTGCAGTTGCGCACATAGGGGGTTCCGAAGATAGGGGACCGCAATAGAGTATCCCAAATACTAGGAATCCTTATTACCAGGACCCCAAACTAAGGTACCCCACAATTTCGGAAACTCTGAACAATAAACCCTAAACCCATACAAAGACCAACCCTAAACCCTAAACCCTAAACCCATAAAGGGACCAACCCTAAACCCTAAACCCTAAACCCATATAGGGACCAACCCTAAACCCTAAAGCCCTAAACCCAAAGGCTGCGCACCTGCGTGACCCAAACCAGCGTGCCCGCTTGCCAGGCGCTGTCATTGTTGTTCAATCTCATGCTCAGGTTCCCAACATTCCTTAAGTGGTTTAGGGTTTAGGGTTTAGGGGTTTAGGGGTTTAGGGTTTAGGGTTTAGGGGTTTAGGGTTTTAGGGTTTAGGGGATGAGGGGTTTAGGGGATTAGGGGTTTAGGAGTTTAGGGTTTAGGGGTTTAGGGTTTAGGGGTTTAGGGTTTAGGGGATTAGGGTTTAGGGGATTAAGGCTTTAGGGATTTAGGGTTTAGGGCTTTAGGGTTTAGGGGTGTAGGGTTTCGGGGTTTCGGGGTTAGGGTTTACGGTTTAGGGCTTAGGGCTTAGGGTTTTAGGGTTTAGGGTTTAGGATAGGATCGGTTG